ATTTAAAAAAGGAAAATGGCATCAAAATAAAAAAAAAATTGTCGAATATGCAAATTTGGTGTTTTTGATTCAAAGAAACTGGTTTAAATTGAGTTTAAATGTAAAAAAATCAGGATATTTTAAGCTGCAGTTTTGTAAATTGAGTGGTTTATTTGTGTCAGTTTTCCAGTATCATGTCTTAATTCAGCGGATAACTATCTGAATCAATATCGGCAAGTAGTGCATTAGGCCTTTTGGGGATAGCACTGCTAAAACAAAAAAAAAAACGCGCCGTGGCAATACCTCATTGGTGGTGCGGAAATTTGCCTGAAATCGAAATTTTTATTGTAAAATGTACAATACACCATATTTCCCACCCACTGCAAAACAGAAGAAAAAAAAGACAAATTTGTGAATCTGTTCCGCTTTTTCACTGTTTGTTTTCTTTGAAATGGTTCTTACGTCGAAGTGGAATAGCAAAAGCTTATTTACTTAAATCTTTTCCTGCAACGTCCTGTGATGTGAAACATATGGTGTTTCTCATTGTATAAAAATATGTTAGATAATAAACGACAAAATTTTCTTGTTGAAAATGAAAAATAACACAAGATTATTAATTGTAATAAAAATAAATAATATCAAGAACTTGTATTATATATTAAAAACATTCATTGTAAATAAGTAAATTATGTAAATAAACCATAGGAATTAAGGGGCAAAGATGCTTCACTGAATTTATTACCGATTTTTCAAGAAAAGTATGCGATAGCCTATAAGCGTCTAATGGATTAAAACAACAAATAATAATAACAGTAATTTGTTTGTTTTATTTGTTCATTATAATATTCCCATTTATTTACTTCTAGAAACTTCAAAATCAAATATTACCTGGTTGACGAGAAATATCCGCAAATTTGTATTAGGTTCATATGGCAAAGTTTTAGGTAGGTGTCAATGGAATAATGCGATTAAGTATTCTCACCGTTTTAAGGAGTACCTACTCGTCCAATAGTGTGTAAACTAAGAGATTTGGTAATATTGATAAATACCTAATGTCTAACGACATATTACGCATACGTTTGTATGTACTACCCCATTTACTATATTTCCAATCTGTACATTTTGGTTTTTATTGTTGGAACATTTTTCGCTTCATTCTTAAGTACAAGTCAGGTAAGAACTGAAGTAGGTAAGAATTACCAATGAGACCGCCGGTCCTTCAGCAGCTCGTAAATGAAGTGATTTGTAATAAAGTTTCCTAGAACAGTCTGTCTCTTCAATGAAAATTTTAATTTGTTAACGTAATTAAGTAGGTAGGTAAACTTTTAAACCGGATCCACATTTTTACTATGAAATGTGGGTACAATATGCTATATTCCTTTCTCGCTGCAAGACAGAACAAATAGATGAACAGTTTTCAAAACTGTTCCATTTTTCCACTGTTTATATTCTTGTGTCGAAGTGAAACACTAAAAAGCCGAAAGTCCGGAGATAAAAGAGTGAGTTTTAAAACACATAAAAACGACTTCTTTTTGGAAAAGCTTATTTACTTAAATATTGTTCTGTAACGTCCCGCGACGTGGAATGGAGTTTCTTAATGTACAAAAGTATGTTGGATAATAACCGAAAAATTTTCTTGGTTAAAACTAAAGGAAACACAATTATTACTTGAAATTAAAATAAATAATATCAAGAACTTGTGCTATGTATGAAAAATATTCATTTTAAATAAGTAAACTATGTCAATAAACCATAAAACCACAACAATCTTTTTTTTGCACAAATTATATTTCAATAAATTTTCAGTAGCGAGTTATCGATATACTTAATTACATTTACAATATTAAATGTGAAAGAAAATGTCTTATTTTTTAGTTTATGCGGCATATGTTACCCGTTTTTTAAGACATATATGAATGGATATGTTTTGTCTTTAGTATATATCTGTCCGTCTCTAGACTAATAAATTTTCTAAAAAAATATAGTTAGTTTTGAGAAAACGCATTTGAAACCATTTTCCATTTTCCATATTATTAGTAACAAAAGCGAGCTCGCGAAAGCGCAAAAAAAAATTCCAAGTCCGGTAAAATTTAGTCTTGTAAAGTGTTACTATGTGTTTAAACATTTGATGCTGATTTGCACGAATAAACAAATTAAAACATTAGCGAAACAGCGGTTGCTAACGATGTCAGAAAAAGTGACTCGATTTGAAATTTTTCCAAAATAGTAATTATTTTATCGAATAAAAAAAATATGTTGACAGTATGAAATAAAATCCATAACGACATACCTCCGATAACTCTTTTCGCAGTACTCGTTTCGAAATTAAAAACTCGGCTCCCTACGGTCGCCTCGTCCTGAAACATCTCACTCTTTCTATAAAATTTGAGTTACCGGACCGTATTTATAATTATGTTAGCACTAACAAGTATTTAAAATAACAAGTAATAATTTGTTTGTTTTATTTATTTTTATTCATTATAATATTCCCATTTCTTTATCAGAAACTTTTAAACGAAATAAAACCTACTTGGCTAGAAATAACGGCAAACTTGTGTTAGGCTCATCTGGCAACGTTGTAAATTATCTAAATACTGACTGTGAGATTTTTACACATTTTTTTCGTCGCCCTCTATCGAGTGGTAGATTTATTAAATGTATTGTTGGTGTGATTTGTGTTACCTATGCGCGTGATTGGTGTCCAAGCTTTTCGCCGGCGTTTGACGGCCAACTGTTGGTGCGCCATCTCTTGTTCGCCGGCCGTTGGCCTGTTCGCTCCAAACAATAGCATGGGTCTATCTATATGTATTTAATCAATGGTCATAGTGAGGCATAATCACGGGCCTAATTTCAGCGAAGCGGGATTTTTGAAATCCATAGCCAACTATGCCCTTAGAATCATTTATATAAGCCCTGTATTTCCATTTAAAGCCCGTTATATTAGCATGAATAAACATTTTTTCGGTGAGAATTTCAATAAAACTAAAATATAGTCTCTGATAAGCGGACAACAAAAATAAACAAAATAAGTTTAAGCTATTCCTTTCTTAAAAATATCATTACAAATTTTATTATTTAAGAATTCTTCTAGGGAAGACAGCATTTTTCTTCTTAAGAACTTTGGCTATGGTAATTTTGCTATGAACCCGTTAAAACTGGCATTTGCTGCTTTTGGGTACCTAAGTATTTTTTGCTTTCGATGACGATCCTGGTATATTAATTACAAATTTAATAGGAATAGTATATGGTGTAACAAGAATCTAAAATTGCATCTTAAACGCAAGTGTTGAAGTTATCAACACAAGCGTGTAAAAGCAGTTTTACACGTGTTGCACACTATACCTTTTCTACGCCTATATTCTTTGAGTTGAACAAAAAATGACTTGACACATGAGTAGTATATAAGTAGGTCTGACGTCAACTCCCACTTGACGTCGGTCCTGGAACCTACCTGTATTACACACCAGCCGTGCGTTGCTGGTTGCGGACCATCGGCGTTCGCATCTCGGTTGTGTTTTTGTTATTTTGAATCTTGGTAATTCGGTTTAGGTATTACAATATAGATTTTGAACGGATTCTGAATAGAATGTTAGGTTTGAAGAAAAAAATGTCAAATAGAATGCCAGTTGCAGGCTTTGAATCTGTGCTGGTTTTCCGAACCAGAACTTAAGTCTGGCAACCAGTCGGCGAACTGCTTGTAGTCGAAGCGAATTAAAAAATTAGATAAAAAAGAAGTTTCAAATTTAGAGGTCAGTAATTTCAGCGTAATAGCATGGTAAAGAGACACAATATGCATTACTGGGCAATTGACAATCAACACTGGTTATGGCACATCGACAACCAAGGTGTCTGCTGGTCTCTTAACGTATGGGACGTAGTGATTGAGGAACGGGTAATTGGCCCTCACTTTTTCGACGGCAATTTGACAGGTGCTAATTATTTAGAATTTCTTCAAAGTGATTTAATTGATGATTTAGCTTTGAACTACTTACCAGAAATGAATTATATGTAAGATGGTGCGAATCCACATATCACTTTATCTGTGCGAAATCATTTAGATCAAATTTTTGCACGTCGTTGGATTAGAAGAGGACGTTCAATTCCTTGCCCTACAAGATCTTCAGACACCTTGCCATTATTTCTTATGGGATTACGTTAAAAGTAAAGTATTTTTTTGCCTAGTCAGAGGTATTTCGCACATACATTTTTGCAACAGTATTTATTTTTCATGTTTATCAAGTGATATCAAACTTAATTAATTCAGAATTAAATTAAGGCATGGAAAATTTACTTTTTCAAGATAATGACTATTCTGACCGGCCCATATCAATCCCCACCTATCAAACTACTTGCATTTCAAGTTTCATAAAATTCCGTTTAAAAATACCTGAGTTATTTCGTCAGAAAGTGTTACGTAGGACACCCTGTATATACACAGTGATTTTGAAACATATGGAAAAAAAAAGAGGAATAGCTCACAATAAGATTATATCACTGTGTAAAATTCACGCTCCTAAGCGGTAATAGTGAGTTTCTTGACCTACTTCTTTCAATCAATGGTACAGAACGACTCGGATTAATAACCAAAAAAGTGACTCATAAGAAGCGTGCAAAAACACGAAAAGGGCCAGTCATCATCGAGTCGGGGAAGTTGCTTTATTGTGAATTTTTCCAATTTAGAGTGTATCGATATGGTTATTGGTGTGCACGAACATTTGCATCAGTGGTACAGCATCTCCGAGATCATGGTACCTTCAAACTCAAACTTACGATCGTGGCCGTGACAGGACAGAAAGAATACTACAAGCTGAAGAACAAATTTTGGAACGCGACGAAGAAGAGTCCGACATCAGCACGCGTCGACTTGCAGCTCAACTTGGAATTTCACAGTTCGTGGTTTAATTAATAGCATCTAAGTTGCTCTTAATTTTGTTCAAATAAATAATGCAAAATTACTGTGGCAAGGACCAAACATCCGTCAGAATCAAAAGTCGATCACCATTAAGCTACTACCGGCTCGTCTAGACTCCCTGAAAAGTTTTATGATCGCGGAGTTGTTAGTTGTGAAAAACCTATATCGATTTCTGAAGAAATTGATGCCTGATTCTTATATAATTTTTAAAAGTTTTTGGCATTCCACATCTATTAGTGAAAAATATTTAATTGAATGAAAAAAACTTGTTATTTCATTTTTTAAAAATATATATAATTGCAGTGTACTAACTACAACTTTGTCACGATTTCAAAATTGTGAAATTTATTTCCTATATTTTATAAATTAAAGATCTCATATTCTCTTGTAACATTTTGATACAAGAGCAATTACTGCACACTTTATTTAGTCAATGGAGTCGTTGGCAAATTTTGACTTATTCTTTTTTATCCAAAAGACTACTTTTGGCAATTGTTTTGGCTATTGAATGTCCTAAATAATCGACTTTTATCATTAAAAAAAGACATGTACACAAAATCTTAGACTCTGTATTGGAGAGAGTTAGAAGGGAAAAATATTATTTTTAAATTTTATTAGGTTCTTGGTCAGATTACAGGTGATTCTCCCAGTCTAAAACTGTGTATTACAACTAATGTAAGTATAAAGAGTATCCACTGTCAGAAGGATTATCTGAATCTTCAACTATTCTTTCCAATGCATAAAGGTATAGAAATAAAATTTTCATCAACTCATGTCAATAAGTCAATAAGCAAAGCAGAGAGTAGGACATTTTAACAGCCTGAAAAATATTAATCATTCTTCTGTAAATCTCGTTGTCTAACTTTACCGAAACAAGTAGTGGAAATGAGAGAGAACTGAAAGGTCCGGCGGTAAGAAAGAAAATAGTTTGACTTCTTCTTAACATAAACAAAATATCTTTCTGCAATCTAACATCCACCTCGTACCATTTTGAAGACCAGATGGATTCAGAAATTGATTCACTCTAGAAACAATATAATAAACAAAATTCTTTACCTTATACAGCTTACAGCGTTTATTAGAATCTGTCCAGAACAACAAGCAAACGTTAAAGTAAGAATCCATCCAGAAAAATGTAGTATGGCACATAAACGATCACCCTAGAAAAAAATATGGTGGAACCTTGTCGAGTTTATCGTGACATTTATACTTCTACAAATTGTTTCTCAATGCAAGCGCAAATTATTGCGGTAATGCAGGTGTGCGTAAACATTGCATTCGAAAAGCATTCATCGAGTGCTTTGGCCATCCTAAAAAAAAGCATTGTAGTACAGAACATCGTAGTTTAAACGCTGAACCTGATTATGTCTACGTGGTACAAAATGCAATTAGTTAATCTACTTTGTGAAATTTCGAATTGGGTATTATCGATAGCTTCGCAAATCATTTGATTCAAATGTTTGATTCTTAAAACCAAATGTTGAGTTATCTCGAACTCATTGTATGTTATTAGCATATTAGGTTTCATTAGTAACTGTGCGCAGAAAACAATATACACATGAAAGGAATAATAAACAAAAACATTTTGTGTGCTGAAAGGTGTCCAAAGCGGAGTGATAAAACCGCAATTTTCAGTCAAATCTTGATTTTTATTTCTCTCTTCGCATTCTGCTTTTCCTTTGAATTTTAATAAATCATACTGTACTATACCAACAGATAGATAAAGGAAAAAAAAAGTGGAGAAAAAATTCAAAACTTGCTCCTTTTGGTCAAAATTGGGAGGCTTTCCAAAATTTTCAAAATTTGACATTTCCTTGAGAAGTCTTGCTACTTTTGATTGATTTTTCGTGTATATAAAACTCATATAATATGTACCAGTTAGAGAAGCTAATGCGCTAATGTTATCTACTACTGGCACATCTATATTCCCTAAAATGTTTTTTGATATAAAAACCATATAACAATCTTTATCCATTTATACTTGTCTTAGTTGTTATAACATGGATCAACACACACAAGGGGAATGCTGCTGTTATCAATACGTATGTCACAATTTTACCAGTGTAAGAGTTGCTGGGTTCAAGTTCCTCATTAATATTTGGCCATAGTAAAATGTATCTTAGATTTCTCCTTGTCGAACGACATATGGTAATTTCAGTAGCTGCAGCTGCCATATGTTTAAACTGAAACAACAATTAACAAATATAGATAAGATACTTAAGTTGCTTGACAATTCGAAGCTTAAAATTGAATTAGGACCACATCATAGACAAGGGTCACAATATTAAGTAAGTTTAAGATGATCATATAATATAAATAATATGTATTGAATGTTTTACATGTGTTGTAATTTTAATAAACATCATTTACAAAAATATTATTAGTGCGTGATGAGTGGTACAAAATGGTACATTTCTCCATAAAAAAGGATAAGCTTACCTTAAGACTTGTATTTGCCCTGACTTTTTCTTTTAGTAGTTACGACTACAACAAAGAACTTCACCAGAACAGTTACTGCACGTCAAAATTTTCCGGCGACTGGTTAAATAAAGACTGACTATTTTGCTCAGTGCCGCGCCACATCCTCCATCTGTGGGAAATGATATGTTTTATTAGCATCACAGTAATATTGTAGGAATAATGTCTGTCTCACTATTATTAACTCATCAATAGTATTGCATTCAGAAACTTACATTCCAAATTATCAGTTGAAAGCATGCGTTATTATTATGGAAATTACTGTTTAATTTAACATATGTAATATACCTGTAAGCAAATAATACACAAAACAAGAATTTTTAAATTAAACAGCACAATACTTAGAGTGTCCAATATTCCAAACATTTATAAATAAAGTAATGAATTTTTAATAATATAGCTACTGCAAAAGTGTATGGAGAGATGATGTGTGTGATAAAATAATTATTTGATATGTATTTTATCATAGCCTTTCTACAAAATTTTGTGACAAATAAAGCAAAAAAAAAAATGCTCTAGGAACATATTGCAATATTCATTACTTATAAGGGACATAAAAATAATATAATAGTCTAATAACCATTGTAAACATGTACTTGTTTATGTCAGTTTAAAATTGTTAGTTTTCATCTCAATAATAAGGTAAATAATTCATATATAGTTCAGTTAAATTTTCATGTTCATGCTGAGAGTTTTTAAGGTATTCTAAGTATTAAATACCGTAACCGAACTTAGTTTTGATTAAAAAAAAAGAAGAGTGGGCTGATTAAAAAAAAGTTGACAGATAGAAAATACTATCTGAATGTTTAATTTTGTTGATGTTTTGTACATTTAAATAAATTAATCATATTATAATACTAATTTATTACTCCTATTATCTATTATTTAAAAAAATGCCACACTATTGCAAAAACTGTAATAAAGAAATTATTCTACGGATAAAATTTGAAAACATTTAGAAAACAGTATGTTGTCATGTTACCTTTTGAACAATTGACAAAAAGTGGCTCCGACATTAAATTATATACTCTGAATTCTAAGATTCACATAATTTTTCTTTTTATTATCTTAGGGGGACGATTCGTAAGACGAGACGACCGCCAATTCGTTTATGGTGACGTCGACTTTTGGAACCAATCTTAGGATTGAAATGGGCAAGGACTGGTGGTTCAGTTAGCTTGCATTTCAAGAACTCAAAAGCACTCAATTGTTCATAGTCCCAGAAAATTTTAATTTTGGCGAAGTTAGTTTATATAAAGGTTGTGAAATTTTTGCAAAATTTTTAATAAATTTACTGTAGTACCTATATATTACAGACCTAAAAACTTTGTACTTGCTTATGCGTTTTAGGCTGTGAAAAGATTTTTTTAGAGTTTAACTTGTCAGAATCTGGTCTAATATAATTTGTACAACAATGTGACCTAAAATTTTAATTTCTTCTGACAAAAATACACATTTACTAGTTCTAAGTTAAAGATTAGCTTAATGAAGATGTTGTAAAACCAATTCAAGTTTTTGCAAGTGTTCCGTAAAATTTTTTGAAAATATTAAAACGTCATCAAGATACCAATTGCTGATTTTATTTTGGACGTACCTTTCAATAACACGCTGTATTGTACAGTAAACGTTATGCCAAAAAAACGGTTCTAGAAACTGGGTTTTTGTGAGATAATTTTTTTGTGGTTAATTAGTATAAGAAGCGAGATGATTTGTCTCGAATAATCGCACGTCACCAACCGTTTTTGTTTTGACAGTGTTTTAGGCTATGTTTTCCGAAAAAAAAAGAGTGCATTGACCCAGGGACGCACGGATGGAGTTTTAACTCGGCGTTGTCAATTTATATAAATTAAACACGTATACGGGGCGAAGTTATTAATTTTCGTTTAAAAAAATAATAAAAACCAAAAATATGTTCATTTGTATTTTTTGACAAAATGATGATTAATAATGAGGATTAGGTTGTTGGGGACTTTGTTTCTCTCTCTTTTTCTATATAGCGTGGTTTTACATGCCAATGTTCTGACCTCGACACAGACACCGTCACCGACACCGACACCAAGCTCGTAGTTCAAACTCGACATTCCTGTTCCGGCGCGCGTCGACTACGTGTTCAATATTACGACAAGAAAGGAGTTAAAACTCCAAAAATACAATCATTTGTTATCTATGTGACAGTAAAAAGAATATCTTTGCAGTTAAAATTAATTTTAATCTTTTCAGATATTGTTCCATATGCTTTGCTTCAGTTTTGGTGTCTAGTATCTGTATCTAGATACAATCGAATTTAAGCACAAAATATCTGTATCTAGATACAAAATTAATGGCGCAGATACAGATACATTTTTTTATTTGACTTTTTTTTTTCAATAGTTATTAGTTGACTTATACTAGTAGTAATTTTTGATATTTCACGTTGGTTATTTTGGTCACATAAACAAAAATAGAGGTAAGAGGTCCACTAATAGTGTTCTGTCACGGAAATTTTCATGTTTTAAATACCATCATTTCCTACATTGTAGTCTTCAGTACTTATACATCTTTAAATATAATCCTGAGGGGTAATAAATCTAAGTCATGGTAAGATGGTATATTAAAAACCATAAACCACAATTCACTATTCACTGGGTTTAGGCTTGTCGGGGCAATGCATTTTATCTCTGTACCTGAGCAACCCGGGTCCGGTAGGCCCCCTGGTTGTATTTGTGTTATTAAATAAGAGTAATTTTAATAGTAAAAATATTTGTTTAAGGTATGTTATTATTTTTAGAAAATAATAATTAACTGTTACATAATGATTAATTTTTTCAATTAGCACAAATTAGTTCTGTAATCGACTAATCGAATGTTCAATACATACATTTCTCTCGCATAAATCGCATATTTGTTAATGTTTTATAAATTTATACCTTTATTTTTCAGACAAATGTAGTATCTTTTCCTGTTGCCACAATGTGTCATTTCTTCACTTTTTCATTGTTGGACCTAACGCGAGGCGGGCTTGGTAGGTCCGTTTTGCCCTAGAATCTGCCGATTATGTTTAAGTGTAAATCTTGGGCAATAAAATTGATATTTTTACAACCCTCGGTAGAATAATTTATCGTGATATATTTTTAGAAATCGTTAAACGAGATTAAAATAATGTGAGTTTCAACAAAAATCTGAACATTTAAAGCTGCACTCTGGTGATTCCGGCCTGCCAGGCAGCCTTTGATTCTATAAGGGATTTAAATACCTTTCTAAGAAATTGTACTTACTTTGCATTAAACGGAACAAGCAGTTCTTCCTAAAATGTATATACCTGCCGCATCGGGATAGACGATTACCGGACATGGTCATAAAAACATCGTAAGCCGATATTGAAGAATAATAATAATTTATGACAAGTTTCCGACAACAGACCTTCAGCACAGAATAATCCTTTCCCGTATTCTTTTGAAATATTAATTTTAATGTTGGAGATAATTATTAGATATACTCAAACAAAATTTGGATATGTAGTATGGGAATAAAAACAAAAAAAAATGTTTAAGCGTACGTAATAAATATTGCACAATTTGCGATACATCAAAGAGCGAAGCGATGGCCTATTTGCAGGAAAAAAGAAAAGATTTTTCAGTCTTGAATAACCATGCTACAGTAATAGTATATTATTAGCCAAGGTTGCAGAGCCAAGGATTCAAGACCGAGCGCAAATTAGAACCCGAGACGCGCAGCGTCGAGGGCTCTGAAGCGCGAGGTCTAGAAGTGGCTTTGCAACCGTGGTTAATATACTATTTTTTTCACTAGTAGAAACCATAAGACAATAAATTGAAAAAATAAACGTTCAGTTTTTTGACGCAACATGATTTTGTTTTGATTTCTAATCAAACTTAATCTAAATCTTCAACACAAAGAAAATCATTTATACTTGTCGCTGAGTTAATCATTTTATCTTCTACCGTCTACCAACTACCATGCGTATACTCAAGTAATGTTTGTAGCACACATTTGTTCTTTTTTTAAGAAATAATCACATCAAACATTGCGTACATAACCTCAAATTTTCTTTTTGAAACGGTGGTCGCAAAAGTTGAATTTGCTACCACTAAATGAGTCGACATTTGCATGCGTCCTGGCTGCTAGTGAAAAAAATGTTTATTTTTTTAATGTAATATCACAATCCCTTCTTCTGGACCTCTGGAACGGGTGTTTAGTAGCGGAAACCAAATTCTGCCACCAAGAAGAAATAATTTAGGTAACAATACGTTCGAAATGTTGTTAATTTAAAAAAAATCATTAAACAATACATAAAAAAATACATAAACATGTTTTCAGTTATTTTATTCGCCAAATCTTCAAAATGTATCTTGTATCTGTATCTAGATACATTTAGAAAAAATCGAAAACAATCTGTATCTAGATACTTTTATCTTCCATATATCTATATCTGTATCTAGATACTTTTAAAAGTATATATCCCCACCACTGGGTACCAGTTAGACACCTGTTCTGATTGCTTGGGCTTTACATTGCTCAATGCTACCAGAAAACTGTTATGTTAGATATGCAAGATTTGTCAACTGATTTTTCGTGCTTGCAAATATTCTTGTATTATCTACAATTCTACATATAGCAAGTGACTTAGTGTATTTTCTATTTAGGTGTTAATTCCTACATTGAAACCACAGTTTATAATTATAATAATTTATTTACATTTACAGAAATTTCAACATCAGGCATGTCGTTTTATGAAACAGGGAAAGAAGGTCTTCTCTAATTATTTTCAAATTTTAAGATGTTCGTTGTCACCGTTGTCATATTATAACACTTTTCCAAATTACAGAAAATTTAGATATCTTTCAAATCTAAAATTTGTGCAGGACGTTCCTCCATGAAATAAACGATGTACTCGTATACCGGTTATTGAAAATAATTGTGTATTGAGTAAGCTTTGAACAGTATAATTTGCTAGAAGTTGTCTGTGGCTGTTTCTTGCACACGTAAGCACATCAAATTTTCTATTTCATGAAGTCAATAAACAAAACAGTGAGTAAGAAAATTTGACAATCTGAAACATATTAATCATATTCTAATAAAACGTATTGTATACTTACCGAAACCAGTAATGGAAATGAAAGAGTACTGAATGGTCCAGCCGTAAGATAAAAAATTTTCTGGCTTTTTGTTAACATAAATAAAATCTCCTTCTGCAATCCAAGATCTGCCTCGTACCATTTTGAAAACCAAATGGATTCAAAGACTGATTCACTCTACAAACAGTATAATAAAATAAAAAACTTTATCTCTTGTAGCTTACAGCATTTATTAGAATCTGTCTAGAAAAGCAAGCAAACGCTAAAGCAAATCTTTGAGTTTTACCAACGTCCGATTTATTATACGCCCATCAATCGTAACATTGGTGTCAGGAGTGGGATTAATTGTGAAATAAATCGGGATTCGAATTTGTGTTGATACTACTAGGGGAGACCGGAACAAAGTGAACTTTCGAGAAAATTCTCTCGCGCGACGTCCGTCAAGACTCTAGAAGTTTCTATAAGAAAATTTTATGCCGACTACCACAAGAGCGCAAACAGCCAACATGGAGGAACAACTGACCAAAATGATGAAAATGTTGAGCGAAAATCAAAGAATACTGGAAGAAAATAGGAAAGAAGATCGAAGAATAATGGAAGAAAATCAAAGAATAATGGAAGAAAATCTAAAAGCTATGCAAACTACACTTTTGAACAGCCGAAGTGAAATCCTCCAAGTCGTGCGAAATGAAGTGGACGAGGTGAGAAATGAAATGGAAAACAAGATCAAGGAGCTCGAAGAAAGGTTGCAAACACCACGACCTACACTTACGACTCCTGCAGAATTCAGTCCGGTGAGAGTTCAACCCCCTATTTTCGATAGGCAGACGTCGTGGACTACTTATAAGAAGCAATTTGAAGCTGCGGCCTTGTCGAATAGCTGGAATGACCAACAGAAAGCGACCGCTTTGGTAGTAGCACTACGAGGTGCGGCCCTGGAGATTCTACAGACATTATCAGAAGAGAACCAGAAGGACTATACCGCCTTGACGACCTCCCTCGAACTCAGATTTGGAGATAAACACCTCCGGCAAGTTTTCGTAGCGCAGCTTAAATCTAGGATTCAGAAGAGTAGTGAATCTCTTCAGGAGTTTGCGGCTGATGTTAAACGTTTGGTACACCTCGCCTATCCTGAAGCTCCGCAAGACTTCCAAGACAGTTTGGCAGCAGAAACCTTCGTAAACGGCGTAAGAGATAGTGAGGTAAGAAAAGTCCTGCAAATCTCCGGGTTCAAGAAACCATCCGAGGCGCTGATTCGAGCGTTAGAAGTGGACGCCACATACAACAGCTCACCTCGTTCCAACGTTAAGATACGAGGCATCGGGGTTGAGGGCGAAGTAAACCCTATTCAAGAGAGTCTCGACAAAATGAGCGAGAACTTTGAGAAATTCGCCCGCGAAATAATTGCCGAAATCAAGAGGGGCAGTTCGAGACAATATGGAGGGCGCCTAGAATGTTACAGGTGTGGGCGTCAAGGGCATATTAGGAGGGATTGCCGTGTTAGATCGCCAGCGCCGATGAGGAGATCGCAGCCGCAACCTCCTCTACATCAGGAGCAGGAAAACTAAAGGCAGTCAGTACCTCGGGGCGCGTACTGGCTGCTAAAAGAAAAGCCCCAACGACTATAATGGTTAGAAGTATCGCGGGGAGCGTCGACATCCCGACAATCAGCGGAAAAATCAATGGACGGAAATCGAAGATCATCATCGACACAGGAGCCGAAGTGTCTCTTGCACGCAGATCCAGGTTATAAAATTGCCAGATTAAATCAGTATGTACCACCACGAATGTGAAGACGGTCACGGGAGAAACAACATCGCTTCTGGGTACAGCGGTGGTGAATGTAGAGCTCGGTCGAATCCGAATAAGGCATGAAGTTCTGGTGGCGAAAATTGTAGACGATTTCATTCTGGGTATGGACCTAATCAGCCGGTATGGTTTAATGATCGATCCAGAACAGAAAATTCTGCGTTTCGGAGCCGAAGAATTTGTGCTGGGACGTCCGAATGTGGAAGCAGCAACGGTCAGACTAGTGGTCTGTCAGACAACGAAGGTAGATGGTAATGCAGAAGTCATCGTCCCCGCCAGAGTAGAGACGAACCCCGGATACAGTTTGGGGATGGTGCAGCCGGCACGTGACTCGACCCACAAGCTCCTGATCGCGAGCACCCTAGTCAAAACCGATCGTGACATACCCTTACGTGTGGCAAACGTGTTTCCCAATGCAGTCAATATTAGAAAAGGGGAGATTATCGGAATGTGTGACCCAGTCGCCCGAGTATTGAACTGCGAAGAAGAAGACGTTGAGAATGAGTCTAAGGAAGGGGATACCAAAGGCTTGGAGGTCAACTGGACCAGCTGTCTGCTCGTGAGAGAAAACTGGCCAAAGGACTCATTCGTAGGCACCGTAATGTCTTCGCCTCAGAGGAGGAACCATTCGAGAACACCAACATCGTAGAACACCGAATAAACACTGGTGACACGCAACCGATCCGTCAGGCTCCTCGAAGACTACCCCTAGCCAAACAAGAAGAAGCTACAAGACTCGTGGACAACATGTTGAGAGATGGGGTAATTGAAGAATCCAACAGCGCGTGGTCATCTCCAGTAGTCTTGGTTACCAAGAAGGACGGGACTACCCGATTTTGCGTCGATTACAGGAAACTGAACGACGTCACGAAGAAAGACAGTTACCCCCTTCCTCGAATAGACGATACCTTGACGACCTTATCCGGCTCGGCGTGGTTTTCGACCTTAGACTTGAAGAGTGGCTACTGGCAAGTAGGCTTGCACCCGGACGACAAAGAAAAGACTGCGTTCTCCACCGGAAGTGGCCTCTTATCACTTCACCGTTATGCCCTTCGGATTATGTAATGCGCCAGCAACATTCGAGCGGCTGATGGAGATGGTGCTGAAAGGATTGACATGGAAGACCTGTCTGGTATACCTCGACGACGTCATGATTATGGGCAAAACGTTTGACGACCATCTGAAGAATCCCGAGGAGGTGCTAGAACGAATGGAAAACGCTCGTTTGAAACTAAATCCCAAGAAATGCTCACTCTTCCAGAAACGAGTCGAGTTCCTGGACCATATCGTGTCGGAGAAAGGAATAGAAACCAACCCGACGAAAGTTGTTGCTATCCAGGATTGGCCCATACCAAGAGACAAGCATGAACTACGAAGCTTCTTGGGACTCTGCACATATTACCGACGATTTGTAGAAGGGTATGCCGACATCGCAGCACCGTTACACCAACTGACGGAGCAGAAGGCGACTTTCAAGTGGAGCAGTACATGTGAGATGGCCTTTAAGAGACTGAAGACGGCTTTGTGCACCAGCCCCATTTTGGCTTACCCCAGGGACAAAGGAAGGTTCGTCCTCGATACCGATGCGAGTAACTCGGGAGTTGGGGCCGTATTGTCGCAGATACAAGATGGGGAGGAAAGGGTTATCGAATATTTTAGTAAATTACATTCCAAACCAGAGAGAAATTACTGTGCCACAAGGAAGGAACTGCTAGCCATTGTCAAAGCCGTCAACCACTTCCACAAGTATCTATACGGACAGGAGTTTCTGATCAGGACCGACCACGCTGCCCTCTCGTGGCTACTGCGGAGAAAGAATCCCGAGGGCCAAGTAGCGCGTTGGCTGGAAAGACTACAGCAGTACCACTTTAGGATCAAACACCGAGCGGGACGATTTCACAACAACGCTGACGCTTTGTCAAGACGCCCGTGCGGAGAATGCAAGCACTGCGACAGGATCGACGCGGAAGTAGGGAATCTGCCCGTTCGTCGAACGATTTTTGAGCAAGATGAAGAATGGACAACGGCTCGGCTAAAGCGTGAACAAGAAGCAGACGACATAATCGGGCCAATACTAAAGTGGAAGGAGGAAGGAGTCGAACGACCCGGCTGGGCCGAATTGTCCGACCAATCTCCCAGTTTGAAGGTGTTATGGGCCCAATGGAATTCCTTGGTCATGGAAAATGGGCTCTTGAAGCGGAAGTGGGAGAGTCCTGATGGGCGTACCTCTAAGACGATGCTGGTACTCCCCAAGGTAAAGGTTTCCAAGGTCTTAGAGAAAGTTCATGCCGGAACATCTGGAGCCCACTTCGGAGTGAACAAGACTTTGTCGAAAATCCGGGAGAGGTTTTATTGGGTAGGCTATCGTGACGACGTTGAAAGTTGGTGTCGCAAGTGTACGATGTGTGCGGCCAGCCAAGGTCCTCATACCGGGGCGAGGGGAAAAATGAAGAAATATAATGTTGGGGCACCTTTCGAAAGAATCGCCATCGATGTGGCCGGTTCGTTCCCTGTAACAAACGACGGCAACAAGTTTATCCTGGTGGCTAGCGATTACTTCAGCAAGTGGCTAGATCCCTATGCCATTCCAAATCAGGAAGCCGTCACGGTCGCGAAAGTACTGGTTGACAATTGGATCAGTAGATTTGGCGTCCCCTTGGAACTTCACTCCGACCAGGGACGCAATTTCAAATCCAACGTCTTCCAAAGAGTGATGCAGCTACTGGGAATATGCAAGAGAAGGACAACGCCACTACACCCAGAGTCCGACGGCATGGTGGAAAGGTTCAATCGGACTATGGAGCAACACCTTTCGAAAGTGGTAGAAGAGGACCAAAGGGATTGGGACCAGCACCTTCCACTATTCCTGTTGGCCTACCGCGCAGCTATTCACGACACCACGGGTCAAACACCTGCTCACGTTCTATTTGGGAAGGAATTGCGGCTGCCCTGTGACCTAGTCTTTGGATTGCCATCCGAAGAACCAATGGAAGTACGTGACTACGTGGACGAACAGAAAGAGAAGTTGATCAACGTACATGAACTAGTGAGGGGTCGGATCAAGATTGCCAGTGACCGAATGAAGACAGGTTACGATGTGAAGGCCAACTGTGGCGGATTCCAAGAAGGTGACTTAGTGTGGCTGTATAACCCCCGACGGAAGAAGGGACGTTGCCCAAAACTGGCTCCTGACTGGGAAGATCCATACACTATCGTCACTAGAATAAATGACGTTGTTTATCGGATCCAACGTGGACCGAAGACGAAGATGAAGATCGTTCATCTTGATCGACTAAAACGGTACGAAGGAAACAACGAAGACGCTTCCGATCGGGACGATCGGATTACCGTTACGACGCCCCAGTACGACGCCTATGGCCGTTGAGAGCTTTCTGGACGTACGCACGGCGCTGATGGGTGAATCATCACTGCTGACGGTGTCGACGGCCGAGAGGCGGGCGCATAAAGACAGATCTGGAGCCGTCTCGAAGCAGCGTCCAGGGGAGTCTCGAAGCGAAGTCGCGATGGATGTTCGTGAAAGATCTCGATAAGAGAATATCAGTTTAAATAGAGGCGACCGTAGGTAATGAATTATTCAGCCAGTGAAGACAGTCAAGAGCGCCGGAATAATTTCTGTACATATTCGTTGCAATAGATAGTGTTGTAATTCGAGCTGAAGAAATAAATCTTTGAGTTTTACCAACGCCCGATTTATTATACGCCCGTCAATCGTAACAATATATTTAAATGTCGCTGTAGGGGCGCAGTAACAAGACCAGTGTGACTTTAGTGTTTTTACTTTGCGTGTTTTGCTGTACAATGAAGATTTAAATTTGCTGCTTGGATCAAATTTGCAAACAGACTCCTTTCTATAAAGGAATGTAATTTTTGTTCCAACATCCCTCCTTCTTGAAGATATGGAAAAGCATATGTAGTGGCTTTTATAGATAAGAAGATAACAGCGAAGCAAGTGAAAATTTATGATCTGAAAATTGCGACTACTTTTACTACCTTAAAGAGTTCGACCATTAGCGTAATCACTTTTTACTGTTGAAACTGGAATTTTAAGCAAAACCTACATTTTGTAGAAATATTTAAGTTTAGTCGTACCATTATGACGATCAAAATGACAATGCAGTCACTCGTATTACAGTAAATTTTACAATAAATTGAAACAAACTTTTGTTAAATATGTTCAATTCTATATTTCATTATATCAAACTGTAAGTCATTCGTTTCATATTCTTTCAAAATATTAATATTTAACAAAATACTTTCTCCTTTTCAGCGAAAAATTTCACGTGTATGTCATTTTTTCTCTGGGTATATTTGTCTGTGAACCGTAGCCCTCAAATGGATGAACCGATTTCAGTACGTTTTTTTTTTTTGTTGAAAACTGGTTTAATCTGGATGGTTTTTACCTATGTTTGATGATAATCATTTCAGCCATTTCAAGATTATAATTTATCAGTTTATGTCTGCGAGTCTGTGGTATTGTAGCTCCCAAACGGATCAACCCATTTCAGTGCGGTTTTTGTTTGAAAGGTGTTTCAATCCGGATGGTCCTTACGAGGAATGATGAATAATTTGGTTTTCATAGTCTCCGAGGGTGAAAGAACAAAAGGCAATAACTGCATATGTAAACTTCAATTAGGTTTTCTATAAAGTCATTCTGTCAGTAATTCTTCGTTTAGGAATCAACTAAATGTGAATATGTCGAGTGATTTTTAGAAATTGAGAGAATATTGTAGTTCATCATGTGAATCAAGTCTACTTTTTGGAATGGGAAATTGCGAAAGAAATCCATGAAAATATGTTTTTCTACACTAGACGACTCATGTCCTTTTTTCCTTTGGGGTGATAACTTCAGGCGCGGGAGTACAACCGTTGAAGACACACACTTTTTAGAGGTCCAGAAACTGCCGTCATTGTAGAAATCGCTTGATACATGAATACCTACATCAAACATCAATGAAGGTGTGTGAGTTAATCGAACAATATATATCGTATATGTCAGTTTATAGCTATGTTAAGGGTTATATCTGTATTAAGGTAAATGCCGAATATCTGGTTTAGTTAACGTTGAATTAAAATCATGTTAAGGCTTTTGAGATTGAGTTATGAGGTATTCCAAGTACTACATTATTAAAAAAATCTCAAATTCTAAAATTGTACAAATTCATGCTGTAGCCTCAATTAATGAGTTCATGGATAGATATTAAATACTTTAGGCAAATCCATTATGTGTAGCTTTTGCAAGGGGATTTAAATTTCATCTTGAATTAGTTTTGTTTTCGTTTAGACAACCATAACATTGTTAACCTTTCGCAAACGGCGAACAGAGTCTGTTTCATCTGTTTTTAACTATCTTGATGACCAGACGTTGTATTCGCCCCTGAAAAAATAAAATATTTAAAAGTACCGCTGTTAAATGACCCTCAAGTACTCTACTATTAGTCTCTTCTCAATATATCGACTAAAAAGGATGTGATATCACTTATGGAAGAGAAGTAATTCGTTACTGCAGAACAAACTGCTTGCACAAGTTTTTGATTCAATTCCTGCTTATCCAAAATTTTTAAATTGTAAAACATGAGTCCAAAAATCTGCTCTTTTACAAATATTTAATATAATTTTGGAAGAGAATACTTTAACATCCGCTTGGCAATAAATCGTCTCTCTGGCATCTTCAACAACTGCAATTATGATTTTAACAGAAATAAGATTATGTCACTTACAAGTACGAAACATAAGTTCACCAATTTACTTATGTCTAATAGAACAATTTTCTAGAGACGTAGGAATGTGCTTTAGTATTGAGAAATGTACTACCCAAATAGTCACAACAGATGTTCAACAACTTATTCCACATGCAACATAGAACAATAAGATTATCTTCCGATCTCCTAAGATATCCTTGGATTCCCTCTGATTTCTTTAGATATTCTTTATCCTTCTATTTCTTTTGAATTCCCTTTAATCACTTAAAAACTCTTATCAAAACTTTTTAACAGTTTAAATTTTTTATAAAAATCAAGCCTCTTTAGGGATCTGTTGAAAATCTTAAATCAATAAAATGAGGAAATATTTGTCATAACTTCTGCCAGGCTAACCATAATTTTAATGAAAACTCGATACACATTTATTACAATTTTATCGAAAATGAAAATATTAACTGAGGAAGGTAGTTTTATGGCTGCAAACCCATTTTAATTTGGCAATTATAACGTAAATACGTTTAGTACAAGGCTATTCCGTTAGCCCTTTCAAGGGCGCTGCGGAATGAAGGGAGGCTCTCGTTGGCTGTCACCTCTAGCATGTAGAAGGTGACAGCCAAGGTAGAAGAAACGACCGCTATAAAAGGGCTGCTCTAGTTGCTATACTTTGAGATGTTGCGTTTAGCTGGGATGACACAATCCTATCTCGTTCTCCATCTAGGTTGCGCAATCGAGACACGAGAAGGTTTTAATAATAATAATAATAATACTTCTTTATTCCCAACAGGCAAAGCACAAACACAGGAAATATAAAATTAACGTTACATGTATTGGTTATAAGTAATATAACAAAAAATGAGAATGAAAACATAAAGAAAAAAAAATTGAATCAAAATTAAAATAAATTTCTTTAAGTTACAATGTCATTTGCTGCAGCAGTACGGATCAACTTCTTAATGTTGTCTTCGAAGATATCACAAGTTGAGCAGAATCTATTAAAGTTGTTACACATCAGATGTATTGGAGATCGAACTAAAATATTCGTGCGTGGAGTGATTACATAAAAAAAAATAGAACTTCTTGTACCTAATCTTGGAACGTGAAAGTCAATTTGAGACAATAGGTTTATACAATCAATTTTATTATTCAGTAAATTATGTAAGAATTTAATAGAAATGTTATTACGTCTATTTTCGAGAAAAGTAACGTGAAATCTGTCTACGAGAATATTTTGACTAAGGCCTCTGTGAGGTTAGAATCCATCTTCTTTGAACGCTAGATATTTTAAAAATTTTTGCTGAATGTTTTCAATCTGCTGTATATATACTTTATGAATAGGTGACCAAACTAAACAACCATACTCCAATTTGGATCTGATTAAACCATTATAAAGTGCAATTAAACACTGGATATTTGTGAAATCTTTGCAGTTACGAAACAGGAAACCTAGGGTTTTGAAAGCAGTGGCCACTATTGATGTTATGTGTCCGGAGAAACGTAACTCTGAATCAAACAGTACTCCCAAATTTTTAATTGATGTTTTACGAATTAGAATGTTATTATTTATAGTATAGAAAAACATAATCGGACTTTTTGACTTGGTAAACGTAATAATGAAGCATTTATCAATATTTAATTCTAATCGATTGTGCTTACATCACTCGACCAGAGTGTAAATGTCGTTTTGCAATAAATGACAATCAGAAATGGTATTAATTTTATAATATAGTTTAAGATCATCAGCAAATAGTAGTTTGCTGCAGTTAAGAAGCCCAGGTAAATCATCAATAAATGTGAGAAATAATAACGGACCCAAATTTGAGCTTTGTGGCACGCCAGAAGTTGGAACAACATATTTGGAACGTACACCCTGAAATTCAACAAACTGATAGCGATTCCATAAATATGATTTGAATCACTCTAATAACGAAGTACTCATTCCAAATTTTTCCAGCTTTTGTAACAAAATGTAATGATCAATGGAGTCAAATGCCGTACTGAAATCTGTAAAAATTGCATCAGTTTGTATTTGTGTATCCATATTTTCAGAAAGGTATTGACAAAAAGTAACAAAATTGGTGATCGTTGATCGTCTTTCCATAAACCCATGCTGTGAAATAGAGATATTCAATTTAATAGCATTATAGATGTACTTATGTATTATAGATTCGAAGACTTTTGATAAATTGGATAAGATGGAAATCGGTCTATAGTTAACAACCATGGTCGGATCACCTTTTTTAAAAACTGGACATATACGAGCCTGCTTCTAAATGTTGGGAAAGGTACCTGTTTTTAGAGAAAGATTGAATAACATATGAAGTGGTCTGACAAACACTGAACGACAGTCTTTGACTATAAAACTTGGAATTTGGTCTACACCGGATGTTAATTTGTTATTTAGCTTTAAGATTGCCTCTGTTCTGTTATGTCTTCTTCAGATATAGATTTTATATTTACGTATTCCAAGAAAGTAGAACCATTATTAAAGTTTCCATTGTCCTGGGATGTCGAATTTATATATACACTACCAAAGTACGTTGAGAAAGCATTAACAACTGCATCAGATCCTTCTTGTTGTAAATTCTGTTGATCTGTTATAATATTAGGTATTCTTGACCGATTTTTACGAGAGTTAATGTATGTCCAAATTAATTTAGGGTCATTAGTAACTTTTTCTTCAGTTGAACGAATAAAATTTTTATAAAGAAGTTTAGACTGATACTTGATACTAGCTCTTAAGGCGCTAAAATTAATATAGTCAGTATGATCACCGGTTTTCTTAAACCTTTTATGTAGCCTGTCTTTTTTACGTATATTTTTAATCAAGTCAA